AGGATTTGTCTAGTTCTTCCAGAGTGGTGTTTACATTACCAGCTATTATGGTGTTATGGGATATCACATTGCTCAGACCAATCAAGGTCTGTTTCATAAATCTGAATGCATTTGAGTTGGGTGCATAAATATTTAGAATTAAAATGTCCTCTTGTTGTATTGTTACTGTGATCAGAATGAAGTGAACATCTTTTTCTTAACTTTAGTTGCTTTAAATCCACTTGTATCTGAAAACAGGATTGCAGTTTCTCATTTCTTCTGATTTCCATTTGCGTGAGATATTGTTTTCTATCCCTGAATCTTGAATCTCTTTTCTCCTTCAAGGTTAAGTGTGTTTCCTGGAGACAGCATATGGATGGCTTGTGATTTTTTTTTTTTACCCAGTCTGCCAGCCTGTTCCTCTTCAGTGGAGCATCCAAGCCATTAACATTTATTGAGAGAATTGATAAGTATGGCTGAGTTCTATCCATCTTATTTTGTGAAAGTCTGTCGTTTAGTTTTATCCTTTGTGCCATTGTGGAAACTGTGTTTTGTCCTCTAGTTTCTGGGTCTTTACTTTGCTGGTGTTCTATTGTGATGGTCAGTGTAGAGAACAGATCTAAGTATTTTCTGTAGAGGTGGTCATGTCAAGGTGAATTTCCTCAATGTTTTCCTATCAGTAAAAGATTTGATTTCTCTATTCTTAGAAGGCACATCGAACAGTCCCCCTGACAACAACATGGCCTTCCAGGGGGTACAGGGTCTGCTCCGCTCACCCAAGCTCAGCAGGTGTGCCAGATCAGGCCATGCACTAGGAGCCTGGGAACTGTTTCTCTGGTGGAGCCTTCCCACCATAGTGGTTTCCAGTTAGTAGCCAAGCTATTGGGAGATCCACCCCGCCTGGCATTCAGTCTTGGTTGCTGGATGTTATTCAAGTCACCTCTCTTGTTGAAGTGTTTTAAACTGCTTCCTGGATGTGTTTAGTCCAAAAATCAATAAACTGCCTGTGAGCTGGTCCCCTGGCCCCTGCCCGTACACATGCACTTGCCTTCTGTGCCAGCTGTCCTCATCTCTAGACAGCCTCATTAGCTCCTGGAGTTTACCATGGCTTCTCTGTGCCCTAGGAGTGATGTTCTTGTGTAAGTTCCCCCAGCCAAAGGTGGCTGGAGTTCTAGTTCCCCTGTCCCACTGTGAATGGCTAGTAAGGAGCTGTTTCTAATCTGCCATCTTGTTCCTCCCTCTCTCCACTTTGTCTTGAGTCCTTATCCTGCGCTAGATTGGGATGACTTTATATTTTCCTTGATATCTTCATTTTTAACACCAAATTCTGGTGGTTTCAATAGTATTAATGTTCTTTCTCAGTCATTTCCAATTATCTTGTAGATATGAATATTATTCAAGATTCTACTGTCAGTCTTTGATTCACCATTCCTCTTGCCCACTCTTAAATTAGGTCATATTTACCCTGGCCCCTTGCTTCATTCTTGCTCAGTCCCCACCTAAGCTCCAAAGTTATTTCACAGTATATTCTTTTCTTTTATCTGTAAGGACACTAGCTACCTAACCAACTACCCAGTAAATTCCTCTATGTACTCGTATTACTAATCAATACAAAAGAAAAATCATCATCCTGTCTTGCAAACACAGCTTCCCCTAAAGCCCTTACTCTTTTGATGGTATCTCCATTTTTACATGTAGTTCCTTGGGTTAGAACTATCTTTGTTAATCCACCACACTGACTCCTCTTTTCCTACAATATCTTCCAATCTCTTGTCTTATTTTTGTTTCCGTTGATCAAGTATAGAAACTCAGCATTTTTTCCTTTGACTCTTATTAAAAGATTCCTTTTTAATTTGTTTCATTTAAATTAAAAAAAATTCAGATTAATGTGGGTATACAAACAATTAGGTTACAATGTTTGCATTTGTTAGTTGTTTCCCACATCTAAGAGGTGTATCATATACCCTTATGTTGTACTTATCAAGTGGGAGCACATCCGTTCCCTTCCCTCCTCCCATGGTGACTTGAGTTTTTCTCTTGTGTGGGTGTGTATTAGATGGTCCCTTAGCTTCATATTAGTATTGAATACATTGGATACTTGCTTTTCCATTCTTATCATACTTTACTAAGAGGAATGTTTTCCAACTCCATCCAGGTTAATGTAAAAGATGTAACCTCTCCATCTGTTTTTATGGATGAATAGTATTCCATGGTTTATATATATCACAGTTTATTAATCCTTTCCTGAGTTGATGGGCATTTAGATTGTTTCTACATCTTGGCATTTGTAAATTGAGCTGTGATAAACAATTTAGTGCAAATGCCTTTATGATAAAATTATTTTTTTTTCTTCTGGGTAGATGCCTAGTAATGGGAATATAGGATCACATGGAAGGTCTATTTTTAATTCTTTGAGGATTCTTACTGATTCCTTTGCCTCCAAGCTGTCAGTTCTCAAGTTGTCAGTCCACAGTTGCTAAAGCTTAAACTGTTACTCTGATAGTATCTCTTTTCCTGAAAACCACTTAAATAATTTCCTAAAAAATTTATAAGAAAGCTTATACTTTTTAGCATTTCAGCACCTTTAAAATTCTTTAGATAACACCATTAACCCAACTTTTCATCTTATTTTTAAAATTTCAGATTAACATAAAGTCCAAGTTGCAGTTGAGCCCTTGACCCAGGAGGTGTGCCATATACCCCTACATAGTACCTGATAGGTGAAAGCTTACTATACCCCCCTCCAACATTTTTATCTTAATTTTATTATTTCTTTTTTTGGAGTAGTCCTCCAGCTTTCTCAGATGCCCCAAGAGTTTCCTAGAAACTGGTATCTGGTATTGGTCTGAAATGAGTTGTTTCTTCAGTCAAAACCACTGATCATTTTTCTTAGTGTCTTTTTCTGTCTCTGTCTCTCTCTCAATAAATTTCTTGAGGACAGAGACTGTCATTCAACTTTGTATTCCTCCTCATAGGGCTTACTGCAATCTGTGGCACATTATAAATACCTAATCAATGATTTTTATTGAATAACACATGGCAGTTTAATGATACATTATTTACTTCAAATTTACTTATGTTTTACAAGGAAACTGATGAGTTCACTTTCCATAACATTGCTTTTTGTTCATTAATTATTCATTCATTCATCCAATCAACAAATATTGATAGAGTGACCTCTAAATGGTAAACATAGCAATAAACAAAATGGTCAGGGTTTCTGCTCTCATAGAGCCAATGTTCTACTCTCTGTGGTCCTCTCATTCAAAGTGCTTTTTCTTTTTTCTAAACAAGAAATGTGAAATTAAGGGAATAGGAACTTATCATTTTTACATATAACATAGAGAAAAGTACAAGGTGTGACTTGATAATTATACATTATTTTAGCATTAGTAATAAACTTAAAATCAACCAGTCAAGTCTCTTCTAGAAAAATGAGTCAGGCCAGGCACTGTGGCTCATGCCTGTACCCCTAGCACTAAGGGAAGTGAGATGGGAGGATCACTTGAGGCCAAGAGTTTGAGACAGCCTGGACAATAGTAAGACCCCCATATCTGCAAAAAAATAAAGATGAAAAAATTAACCAGGAGAGGTGGCACAAGCCGTTAGTCCCAGCCACTTGGGAGGCTGAGGTGGGAGGATCAGTTGAGCCCAGTAGTTTGAGGTTACAGTGAGCTATGATTATGTCACTGTGCTCTAGCCTAGGGAACAGAGCAAGACCCTGTCTTAACTGGAAAACAAGAAAAAGAAAGAAAGAAAAGTGAGACTCAGAGGTTGTAAAATGTGCCCAAGGCTACTCGGGTAGTTTTAGTGAAGAACTGGAAATTAAGTCCAAGTTTTCTGAATTCCAGTGAAGACCTCTTCCTACAAGATAGACTACTAGCAAAATATAAATTTTTCAGAGATGTCTTGAGAGGAATGGTGGATGGTGAGGGAAGAGGGACTGTGTAGCAAAGAGTGAGGTCTCAGTGGGGTGTGATGAGATTAATAGAAGAACCTCAAGCATTATAATTAAACACAATTAGAAGATACACTAATTCTTTCATGGGAAAAGAAATGGACACCACATACTTAGAGGTGATCAGAGATCATGAGGCACGTTTCCAAGTGGAGGCTACTGGCAGCCAGCAAGGGTCTATATGTATCAGCCAGTCACTGGATATATGTTTTAAGAAATGAGACGCTGCCATTACATTTATGCTAAGTGTAGCAATTATCCAGAAAATTAAGTACGATAGGCTTTTCAAAACACTTGCCTCCATTTTCTGCTTCTCTTTAATTGGGAAAGGGGAAGACTTTGGGTCCTTTGGGACTATTAACAAAGATGGGAACTTGAAAAATGTTATATGTTTTTATTTTTAAAATAGACTACTTTTGAGAATAGCTTCAGATTTACAGTAAAATTATGAAGATACTACAGAGGGTTCTCACATAGACCCCTCACCCTGTCTCTCCTACTATTAACATTCTACATTAGCATGGTACATTTGCTCTAAGTGTACTTGTAAGCTCAATATACAGATACATTTTATTGCCTAGAGTCCACAATCTTTATATTTCTTTAGTTTTTACTTCAGTGTCTTTTTCTGTTTCAGGATCCCATCCCAGATACTTGTCATATTTCCTTAGACTCCTTTTGATTATGATAGTTTCTCAGACTTTCCTTGTTTTTATTTTTATTATTTTAGATTATATAAGGGTATGGACAACTAGGTTACATTGTTTGCACTTGTTAGGTAGAACTGAAGTTGTAGTTACCCCTCATCCAGGAGGTGTACTTTATACCCTTGCATTGTGTCTGTTGGGTGGGAGGATACCAATCCCCTTCCCTCCTCTCCCCACTCCCCCTACTTGAGTTTAATTGTGTTTTTCTCTTGTGTGGGTATGTGGTTATTTGTCTACTGGTTTCATATTGGGGTTGAGAACGTTGGATACACTGGATACTTGCTTTTCCAACCTTATGATACTTTACTAAGTGGAATTTACTCCAACTTTATCCAGGTTAATACAAAAAAAAGTAAAAAAATATGGAACGCTTCACAAATTTGCGTGTCATCTTTGCACAGGGGCCATCCCAATCTTTGTGTTGTTCCAATTTTAGCATATGTGCTGTCCATGTGAGCATGACTTTCCTTGTTTATGATGATCTTGACAGGTTTTGCAGGATGCTCTCAGGACTTTAAGGCCACTTGAAGGTAAGGCCTTCGAGGTCTTTAAGTGCCCCCTTTTGACTGAATCCAAATTTTATAGAACAAATTTTTTTATTAAGAGGGGTGCAACAGGGAAAGATGAAGCTTTTCTTGTCTCCTTTCATGCTTATAAATGAGCAATCTTGAAATCAGAAGGCTGCAGTTTTCCCACCCCTACTTGGTGTTTGGGACCACAGAGGCAAAGTGCCATTTTGATCACCTCATAACAGGGATGAGTACAATCAACAAAATTTATCCCTGTTGATGTTGATCTGGATCATCTGATTGAGGGAGTGTTTGTTAGACTCTGCCAACATAATTACTCCCTTACTCCCCCCACCCTATCTATAGGAAGTGTCTATGCAGAGCTTATACTTAGGAGGGAGTATGTTTTTCGTCCTGGAGGGCAGAGTGCATACATAACTTATCTGAAATTTTTCTGTAAGGGATATATGTCTTTTCTCCTCTTTTTATTTATTCATTGCATTATTTATTTAAACCAATATGGACTCAGATATTTATCTATTTTGGGTTATAATCCAACAATTGTTATCAATCAGATTGTCCTACTTTTGGCCTTGGGAGTTAAGTTGGCCCTTATGTCCCTTTAATGTATCTCCATCAATGTAGTTGTTTACTTTGCAGCATTTCTTTACTACCAGATTCTCCAAACTCATTTTATGTATTTCACACCTCATCCTGGTATCAGCCATTTCTCCAAGAAGCCCTATTCTTTTTATAGGAGAGTGGGTTTAGAAACCAAGATCTAGGCTCTGGGTGTGCTTCTTGTTACTGGGGTATTATTTATAGGTCTTCTCAGCTGACAGAACAAGGAAGTATATGTGTACACCAACCTGTGTAGATATACATATCTACAAATATTATATATATGAAGGCACACATGAGTTTATACTGCTGTCTTCAACTCTCTTCCATTATCACAGGGATTATTTTAGCCTCCTTCTCCCTAACTTATTTGTAAGTTCCAGTTCACCCTGTGAGAAACCTGGCACCCATTCTTTGTTATCCACGTACCTGGTTGTCCAATTGCAGTATGCAGGTGTAACAGTATCAGAATAGAGTACAGTGATTGTGTGCAATTCCTTTAGTCTTATGGATACTACTCATTTCCAATGTTATTTAAATCAGCACCTTTCTCTCCCATCTCTTTCAGTGAGGTGGTTTCAATACTTTTGTGAGATAGTGAGATTCTCTTATCACAATGTGCATTCCTTCCTTGGATCCCCTGACTCCCCATTTTTTTTTTTAATTCATATATATTAAAGTTTACTCTTTGTGCTGTAAAGTTCTATGGGTTTTAGCGGATACGTGTCAGTATCCACCATCAGAGAATAGTTTCATTGCCCTGCAAATCCCTACTAGGGGTGTCCAACCTGAAGCCCATGGGCCACATGTAGATTATGTGAAGACTTTTTTATTTGCTAATCAGCTTTCATTAGTGGTTGTGATGTATGGCCCAAGAAAATTCTTCTTTTTCCAGTGTGGTGCAGAGAAGCCAAAAGGTTGGACACCCTTGCCTGCACTTTACCAGTTCAACTCTCTCCTCTCCCCCTCATCTTTGTGCTATCTTCATAGTTGATTGAATTTTACCATTTTCAGAATGTTGTATAATTAGAATCCTATTTGTGTGTGTTTGGAAGTTTATTTTCCTTTATGAAAGGCTGGGAAGAGGCTCTTCTATCTTGGAAGGGATGGTGCAGAGAAGAAGCCAAGATTTTTGTACATTACTTTGGAAAATATTGAGAATGGTTTTCTTTTTGAATCTTTACACTTACACCTTCTTTTTTGTGAGCTTCTTCCTTGTGTGTTTGTCTTTTTTAAAATTTTCTCCAGAGTGTTTCGAATTATGGATGACAATAATAACCGAACTCTTGATTTCAAAGAATTTGTGAAAGGGTTAAATGATTATGCTGTGGTCATGGAAAAGGAAGAGGCAGAAGAGCTTTTCCGGAGGTTTGATAGAGATGGAAATGGAACAATAGACTTCAATGAATTTCTTCTCACATTAAGAGTAAGTGGCCCCTGAATCAGCGTATCTGCTGAGTTTGGCTTTCATGTGTTTTAGGTTGGCTATCATGAGGTTTTGTTTTCAGAAGTTGTTAATGCATTGCTGGGGAGATGGGCAGAAGACTGTGAACAGGTTTAGGGGAGTTTTAAAGCATTCATAATGCACATTATTGAGTGGGACACAATTTTCTCATCTTTGAGGGGAAAAAGATATTTCATCACATACAATAGCAAAAAAACACATTTGACTGTGTATGTTTCTATGTGTTTTTTCTGCTTATCTAGCCTCCAATGTCCAGAGCCAGAAAAGAGGTAATTATGCAAGCTTTTAGAAAGTTGGACAAGACTGGAGATGGTGTTATAACAATTGAAGACCTGCGTGAGGTGTATAATGTCAAACACCATCCAAAATACCAAAATGGGGAGTGGACCGAGGAGCAAGTATTCAGGAAATTTCTGGATAACTTTGATTCACCCTATGACAAAGATGGAGTAGTAAGTAAAAGAGCTTAATCTAAGATTTTTTCTATTCAGGTTGAAGTTATAAATGGGAAAGAGGTTCCAAACCTTAACAATCTCTACATGTTGATAGTATATTTGTTATAAATAGAAGCACAATATTCTTTAGGAACCATCTAGAAAGTTGAAAATTGAAGTAATAAAACATGTGTGTGTGCCCACACAGACACATATGTGAGTATATGTTGGTATGGGGTCCACATACAGCTAACTGCCATAGCATCTGGGCAATGCAGCATTTCATATGTACCATATTCATCACACTCAGCTCATCACATTTCAATGATCTAGACTATATTTAAGCACATTTACCCTCAAATGGGTTATAATTCAGTTTTTGGGAACAGATTTACAAAGCCTCTGCATTCATTCTTCTGAGCATCATTTGTCACCACACTTCGCTCTGGAAATGCCATTGAAAAGTAGCTTTTGATAAAGGAACACCAGATTGCAGAAGTTGCTCTGATTTATTCTTTAGTGTACTTTGAGGTTAATTTACAATTCTAAAATGAGCTTGAAAACAAAAGCAAGCACTTTATCTCCATTAAGTTTTCCCTTCAAGTTACATACAGATGCGTAGCTTGGTAGGGGAAGAATGTTATTTTCATGACTGTGTCTAAGCTGAGTGGAAGATGTCATCTTTTATCAACAGCCGTAAATGGACCTTTTTTTTTAACCCAGGGCCAGTTCTGCTCTTAGAAGACCTAAGTAAGGGTTTTGTGATAAGGGAAGGGGATGTCTCCTTGGCAATGGTGGGCAGCAGCACAACCCGAGGGTTTGTTATCTCCCATCTCATTTGCCACACAGGAAGAGATTAGTGGAATAATGGAAGGGAATGAGAGGGTGGTTATGGGAAGAGGAAATAAACCTTTCCCTTCGGAAGGAAGGGATTTCCCCCCAACTTTTTAAATGAAACTTTATGATCCACCCAGTGAGAAGGGGTAGGGGACAGGAAGGGGGCCTTTCTTCCCTTCCTGCTGACATCCTTCAGTCAGGGATGGAGAAATGTCCTCTGTTTGGGGCTAAGGGATGTGCAGGTAGATTTAAAGACAGGGGCCTAAATTCTGCAGGGCAGTCAAATGCTTAGGGCCAGAAATAACAGAAGTTCATGTTTTCTTTCGATATTGCTGGACTTTGATGTCTGAGATGTCAGTGGAAAAATAGCCAACTGCCATTTCCCCAAATTAGCCCAAGTCTACATGAATCTCAGAGTATCTTTGCTTTCTTTCTGCAGGTGGTTCCTCCTCATTGCCAGGGGAAACCTCAGCTGCCATTGTCTCTAACCCAAGTGGCAGTGGCCAGTGGATGTGATTCAGCTCATTTAAAATCCCCACTTTGCCTCTTTTGACATTTATCTTAATAAGGCACATTAAGCTCTCAAGTACTCATAAAGGTTATTAAGATTTTTAGCAAAGATATTTGACGTTACCTGAATATCATAGACCTTGTATTGACACCCAACTCTGGCTGTTCATGACTATCATCATACATATTAATATTAATAATGCAGATTGCTAGCCACACTGTAGATCTGCAGAGTCCAAGGTTTTTTTGGGGGGGGTGGTGGAGCTTGAGGCTTTACATTTTTAGTAAGTATGCTAGATGACTCTTATACACATTCATATTTGAGGTCTTTAGCTCTAAAAGATTCAGAAGTGCCTGTTTTCAATTACTAAATGTAATATACATGTGAACTTCATTTAACATAATATTAAACCTGTGCAACATTTGTTGAGCACATATTGACTGGGCATTATGCTAAGGCATAGCAGGAATATCTCATTTCATGGAAATAAAAATGTTTCTGAAAAGTGACATGTGATTTAAACATTTGTATGTTGAGTCATATAGTAACTGTAAAGAGGTAAATTCTTTCATAAAGAGAATAGCTCTTAGCTTACCTTTTGGAAATTGAGTTATTTTGTATATTACAGTTTCTATGGTGAAACATGGTTATACTTATAAGCCAGTGTGCTCATTTATGGTTAGAAAATATCCAAACAAGACCGAATTTAGAACAATGCAAAATATTAGTGTGGTCCCAAGCCAAGGATGATATTCAAATTTATGAACTTTTAATAATCTAGGCTAGGCTCTCTACTACTCATAAAGGTTCTAGAGTTTGCAGCAGTCATGAAATTTGATCTCATAAATCCTGTATTAACACCCCACACAGCTTCCATGGCAGTCTGTGCATCTGAAGCTGTTTGGGTGGAGGTATGAAGGCAATCAAATAAGGTGTGAAACAAACCTTCCTCACCCTTATGCCACCCTTAACCCCACTTCTTAACTTTTTAAATATCTATGTTGTGAATTTTTCATGGGCATATATTACTTTATAATCCCATTTTAAAATGTCTCTTAGAACTTCAGCATTTCAGAGGGTATG